CTTGCTTAAAAAAAAAAAAAAAAAAAAAAAAAGCATATCCAAGAGGAGAATGAGACTTTGCTTCGAAAGACAAAACTTTCGAAATAAAAGTGTGTTATTAATTTTTACTTTTACTTGCGTCTAAACGCCTTTTATACTACCCTGACAAATAATTTACTCGTACTCGTGTATTCATTAACATAATAACAATTAATAATTGATAATTCGTTGAATGTGTCACTCTTCGGAAATGAATGGAAAATAAAACACGAGGAAGGGAGGAAGGAGAAAGGGAAGGAGAAATTAGAAAACTGGCACGGTGGAATTGAAAAAGGGGAAATGCATTATCTACGATCTGGGAATCGTGCGGTTGCGTAAGAGTGAACTAATTAGGAGAAAATGAAAACGATCCTCGTAATCGTAACAATTACATTTAGAGCGTGATAAAAAGGGTAGCGAGGGTGCCGCAATATCCGTCGGACGTTGCAGAATTTGCGTACGTGCGACAATTGTTAATTAGAGGGAAGCATGCAGCATGCTACGATCGTGAAGCACACGGTGTTGTTCCGTATTAATCCTTAAAATACCAGAAGCCGGGTAGCCAATTTTCGGTTGTTTCGCTTCTGTTTTACCACAAGAGAGAGAGAGAGAGAGAGAGAGAGAGTGTCCAACGTGCAGTCCGATGATCCCAACTTTTAATATCCACCCTAATAAGCGCGTCACGCGTGAAAACACGCCTGGCATAATATTAATAAGAAATAACATGGTTAAGATCCCTTGCAGCTGGATTATTCTATCTCGCTTTTGGCAGAACTGTTTCAAGGAAAAACAAATTTATTGTAATCGGTTCGAGAAACAAAAGGAAACAAAAAGAAAGGAAGGAGAAGAGAATTTTTAAAAGTCTAAAAATAAATAGGAGTTTTGGAAGTGAAGTTTCAAATTTATCGCGATCAGGGTAAAGTTGGATCGCGTTTCACGCAAAAAAAAAAAAAAAAGAAAAAACAGGACGAAACATTTACTCTTGAAACTTTCATGGAAGAAACAAAAACAAGTGTAAGCTTAAATTTTTAGATTTACACGATACGCCGAATTTTGCAACATCGTTGTTGCAGAACGAAACGCGATCAATTATTCAAATTCATCGTGTCGTCGAAACGTTCATTAAACGCTTTTTCGCGGCATTCGTTAACCGGTGTTAATCCTCTCATCGTAGCAGCGACGATACGCTGGTTCAATGGAAAAGTGAGCAAACTAATTATTCACATGTTTTTATCTTCGCTGTATCTTGTCCGACTTTTTATTCAAAGCGTTAAATATTCGACACAATGGACTTCTCTACTGCGAGTGCTAACATCTATCAACAAGGAATTTAAAGCCCGTGGCTTAAACGCCCCATAGGGGGCAATTTGACTTTCTAGGAGGGGGGAGAATGAGTTATTAACAGTGAATTTTTTTTCTTTTTTTTTTTTTTTTTTTTTTTGTATTCTTTTAAACGAAAATTTAATTTTCTAATTTATTTCTTTCATAGATGATCATGTTTCTTGGAAGCTTTAGCTTGGACCTTTTAGGCTTCCTCCACAAAAATTCACTTTTTGAATAATAAGAATTAATTACGTGTCAGGGAGATACCTTTAGATGGGACATCAAAAGAAGTTGGAAACTACTAATCCAAAGCATAAATCTACAACAGACCTTAGAACAACACCTTTCTACTATTTCTATTTCAAATACCAGAAAAAAAAAAGAACATCAAACAAGTAGATAGAAAAAAAAAAATAATAGAAATTTCTAAAATACCCAATGTGTTTTTTTAAAACGTGAAAGAATGGAAGGGAAGAAATAATAAAAGGAAAGCATGCTCGTTATAAATCTTTTCCTTTCTTTCTTTTATTCTTTTTATTTTTTTTTTTTCTTTCTTAATCTCGACTTAGCTGATAAGGTGAAGTACGTGTTATATAACCGACAGAGCGAGATCAATCTGACCCCGATTAAACAACTTGGCCAAGTGTACGTTTTGGCTAAATTATGCAGTCGTACTTATGTTAATACCACGTTTAACTTGTTAGGAGAACTTCGAACCGTAATGAACGATTAATTGAACTTTCTCGTGCTCCGGTCCAGAAAGCCGAACGACCAGAGAACATAAGTGGCTCGAGTGGCCACACAAATGGAAAATTAACATAGACGTCCCGTTTCGCGCAGGTATACGTTGCGAATTAACGTCGGGAATTAATACCAGGGATTATCTGAACTTCGTCGTATCAGTCGATGGGGATTAACACGGCTTAACACATTGATCGCCAATAACCTGCTTGATTTAAGATTATCCTGCGGACATCCGTGGCTGAATATACAGAACACGGGCGTGTATACCGTGGAATTATATCTCTTTCATCGGTGTACACACCATTCACACCGATCACAGGGTAGAGGAGCTTATTTCGTTCGAGTATTCTGCGGTTCTGCGAATGCTTGCACGAGCTCGTTGGCCGCGAGATGATATTCACGGCATAATTCATTGATACGAC